AGGATGATTTATGAAGAGAAAGGTTATTATGATTTATTAATATATTATAAGAATAATATATTAAAAGAGAAATCATATTGTTTAATTAATATTAGTCATGGATTAATAAGAATTAATTTTGTGGCTAAAAGAGATTAATTAAATAAAGGGGACTGATACTGTAATTATAAGATAATTGCATAAATTGGGCTAATGGACTCCATAGAAGTTGGAGTGGACAAAATCTATGGGGAAACCCATTAGAATTCGTCCAAGGCTTCTAAGGAGGGAGTCAATGGGCTAACTATATAAGGAACCCCTAAGGGTTGTTAGACGTTTTGGTGCCTCTCATCCTAAGCAGTCAGATTAGGGTTTCCTAGTTCAAAACCCTAATAGCCTAACTATATAAGGAACCCCTAAGGCCCCAAAAACGTGGGGAAGGAATCCCTAAGGGTTGTTAGACGTTTTGGTGCCTCTCATCCTCTCTCCTCTTCATCATTCTCTTGCTATTGGTGTTTGTGAGCCAATAGAGGTGTGACACTTGTGGCACTAAGCTTCTTGAAGATCAAAGAACTCTTGTAACCATTGAAAGGTAAGATCTAAGCCCTAATTCATATGTTAATTTGATTATTGTATGCTAGATCTAGGTCTTATAAGCTTTGGATGATTATTGCATGTTCATTAGACAAACTAGATCCAAAAGCTTTAGGGTTTTGCATGTACACCATAGGATTGTTGTAGTGCTCAAAACCTATCAGTGGTATCAGATCCTAGGCTGTTTGTTTGATGTATTTGATGCTTGTATGATCATTCTTGGCATGAAATCGAATTTTTTGTCCTCTGCATGACAGACTCGGCGAGTCAGTGGATGAACTCGGCGAGTCAGCCTGACTCGGCGGGTCCAGTCCCTGACTCGGCGAGTCCAGGGGTCAGACAGAGGATATTTCGGGATTTTTTGGATTTTGGCTGATTTTGATGATAGATAATTACCATAAACGTTTTTTATTGATAAAATCCGACTTTTATTGATATTATGTGATTATCCTTGCCAAAATAGAAGATAATTGTCATTTAATTGAATTGTTATTTCCTTATATGATAAATTTTGATTATTTGAATTATTTGATGAATTGTCTTGCAAGAAATTGGATTAGGTCAAATTTAGATAACCACCAATTAATTGTTTAATTGTTATTATTTGCAATTTGATCTACAATGTTCTTGATAATGTTTGAAAAGTTTCAAAACTTGCCCTCAAGTTTTGGAATTTAAATTTTTATTAAAAGGTTTAATTTCGAAATATTTAAATTCTAAACCCTAATGTTTTGAAAAGTTCAAAACTTGCCCTCAAGTTTTGGAATTTAAAATTTTGATTAAAAGTTTAATTTTGAAATAATAAATTCTAAAACCCTAGTTTTTGAAAAGTTCAAATTACACCCTTATGGTTTTATTAAGTTAATTAAGTGTATAATTAAAAGAGAGTTAATAAATCCATAATGATTTGGTTTACATTTAATTAAATTAAAAGTATAATTTATTAAATTAGACCACATAGTATTTTAAAAGTGTAAAATACACCTTATACTATATAACATTTAAAAGTTTAACATATTATATATGTATGAGTAAAGAGTCAGTCTTACCGTTAGTAGGCCTCATTCACGAAGCTGGTCTCTAAGGGGTGTTTAAAGAAATTGCCTATAAAATGACGATTGAATGGGTATCCACTCTTACCCACCACACTCTTGACTAGTGGAGGGTCGTTAGCCGAACGGGTAGGATAGGACACACCCTTCCATTATAAGTATAATGAAATACGAAGTAACTAAACGCTTTTATAAATTCCCAAATCTTAGTTACTTTAGGAAAAGTGAATTTGATGCAATTCCATGGAATTACACTTTGTACCCTTGCCGAGACAATTAGTGGAGCGTGTGTGGTTAAACGGCACACTAAGTTGGGATTGGCATTGGTGGCAAAGGGTGACTCGATGTTTGTCATAGATCGATGGAGTGTGTATGGTTAACCGGCATGTCAATTAGGTGACTGTAACATTGAGGGCACCTCGTACATTCGCATGGTTATTCACACCTTATTTGTGATCCTCGGCATTCCAGTCACAAATGAAGGGCATAATCGAGATTAAACATGCCATTGAAAAGTTCAATGAATCTCAACAGATCTAGGAATTTCAATTCATTTAAAACCTAAACCTTCAATTTTCGTTTTTCATGGTGGAAATTGGTAAATCGTCATTTACCTACCTTCAAATGTTCTGCAATTTGGATTACGGCATCCCTATTCCAAGTTGTAGAATATTGTGTTGGGTCCTAGCCTTAATATCTCATTTGGGTGTTTTATTAAGGACTCAATCAACTAACTTGAATTTCTCCCGTTTTGTAGATGTCAAAGTCTGAAAACTATGGTCTTCCTGAATCCGTTGGAAAGAGTTTTCCACATGAAGATGAATTTCCACGATTGGATTGTGGAAATTGAAATCGTGCTTCACTTCCTCCACCTCCTCCTATAATTCTCCCTGACCCACGTGTTCAAATACTTGAAAAGTTTAAGGTCACTCAATCCCTATTGGCGAAAAGACACGAAGATGGAAAGTCGGTATGCGCTCATGTCTTGGATATGAAGTTTCATATTGATAGATTGGGAATGTTGGGTATCGATGTCTCTAGGAAGTTGGCTGTTGACTTGCTTCTTCAGTCACTTCCCGAATCATATAGTGAGTTCATTAGAGAGTACTATATGATGGACCGAGATGTGACCCTCATTGATTTGACTTATTTGCTTGTTGCTGCTGAATCAGAAATGATTTGGCGGACTGGTCAAGCAAATTTGTCTTGTAAATCAATGTCTCAACCTTCTATGGACAATGGCAACATTGGAAGTCCAGGAAAGTTATCTCTATGCAAGAGAAAGGCTAAGTCTGAGATAGTCCCTTGTGTTATTCCCAAAGAATCTGTGTGTTTCTACTGCCAAGAGAAGGGGCATTGGTCACGAAGCTGCCCTAACTACCTGAGAGATCTAATGTAACACCCATAAAATTCAAGCTAATTTAAAACTTTTTAAAACATTTAGAAACCATTAAGTTATTACAATTTGTTTTCAAAATAGTTTAAGCATCAAAGTATCCCCAGAATCAATCATGAAAATATGAGGAGGTGCACGATCACGCCTTCGCCTTCCTGCGATCATCAGAAGTACCTGAAACAAAATCAACAATTGTAAGCCCGAAGCTTAGTGAGTTTCCCTAAAATACCAACGCCATACAACTATAACCATATCATATAACAAATACAGAACAAACATGCATACTGAGCCTTCAGCCTGACTGGACCGCCTCGCAGGCCTTCAGTCTATCTGGACCGCTCTCCGAGCCTTCGGCACGTCTGGACCACCTCGCAAGGCCTACAGCCTACCCAGACCGCTCGTCGGGCCTTCGGTCTGACTGAATCCCTTTGCAGGGCCTTCAGTCTATCCGGGCCGCCCTGGGTATGTTGGCCATCAGCACAAAGCAGGACCGCCTCAACTCACCCCAAATCAAACAAACATGTGTACATAAATATCATATTCTTGCATATATATATATATATATATATATATATATATATATAACAGTCATACCGATCTAACAGATCATCAATCATAGCAACATCCTATAACCAGGATACCGACCTAACCAGGTCACTAACATAGCATCATCCTATATACCAGGATACCAATCTAACAGATCATAATAGCATAACAACATCTTATCTACCAAGATACCGATCTTAACAGATCATAACAGCATACAAGCATAATATAACCAGAATAACAATCCAAAGGGTCGGACTTGGTGCCTTAGACCCTGTTGATATAGTGAGGATAACTCACCTGGCACTGCCTCAGTCCCGCAGGTACACTCCAACTGTTGATTGACAGATTCCCGAACTGTCAACATCAAACAATACCCAATTAATAATTGGGTTCCAAGCTCAAAGTCCAACTCACACTCCAAAAGCCCAAAAGTCAAGTAATGGGCCAAAGCCCAACATATGGCCCAATTTTCCAAATTGGTCCCAAACCTTTACATGGTCATAGTTAAAGGCCCAACTACTTAGTCCAGTCCAAACATTTGGCATTTCCAAAGGCCCAATATCATATAATCATCAAGGCCCAAACTATGGCCCATCTACGGCCCAATTTCCAAATTAGGCCCAAACCCTCATATGGACCTTACCCTAAAGCCCATTAAGTTATTCTAGTCCATTTGCTTGTTCTTGGATGGCCCATTAATAACCCAATTACCAAAGCCCAAAAGAAAGGCCCAATTCAAGGCCCGAGTGAGATTAGGGTTTTCACATGAAATGATGATGAGGGTTAAGTGTTTCTTACTTAACCCATTAGGGACTTAATCCATTAAGTCCAATATTGCCATAGGTTAATTTTCCAATGATCATTAATTAATATTTTAACTCTACTAAATAATTCTCGCGCGTGTTCCAATAAATCCCCAAAATTTGGGTTTCAAGCCATTAAGGTTTTCCAACCCAAATACTAGCCCATTTATCAAATGGTTGGGCTTTTATGTCTATTAGGGCTTCATTGGGCCCATTAAAGTCTCATTGGGCCCAATAGGGTTTCTTTAGGCCCATTAGGGTTTGGTAGTCCCTTTTTCCAAACATCCAACGAGTCACAAACCAAACAAGGCACATCGCCTCCCGACACGGCGGCCGATGGCGGCAGGAGGCGGCAGCCACCACCTCACGGTGGTGGTGACGGATTTTCTTTTCATTATCTCGTTTTGTTACAAATTACAATACCATCTAATTAACACACACACAAACACTAATAACACACACACTCACTAATAACACACACACACAACCATATCGTGGTGGTATATGGTGGCGGTGGCCCTCTTGTGATTCCGGCTAAGACAGCCACCCATACACACAGCACAAAATTGACACCATACGGCAGCAATACATGCACATACTTTCCCGGAGAAATAAACCCAACACCCAATGAATTGCGTGGCGACGGAAGTAGCACAAGAAAACGGCAGCAGCGGTGTCCCTTGGCAGCAGAACTCCCCCACGTCGATGGCTGTTTCGAACGACAGCAACAAAGGCAGAGGAACGGACCCATCGGCGGTCCTCGTTTCCCACAGCAGCACCTGCGGCGGAAACAGCTCCAATGATCTTCAGCGGTTCCCTCTCGGCCATTCACGACGCCCGGCAACGAAGTTGGACACGAGATGGTCGTCCGTGGCTCATGGCGGTGACGAAGGGGTTGGTGGCGGATGGAAGATGGAGGGATAAGGATGGAGGGTAATGTAACAGTGGAGGAGATGGCGGTGGCGACTAGAGAGCAATCAACGAGCAAACAACATCAATACACATGCACTCGTTTCCCGGATTCCATCGTTGTTCGTTACTGCCGGCGACAGGGGCGTTTGACGATGCTAGGTGGTCGGGGTGGCAGCGGCGCTGGAGATGGGTGAGGCGAGTGTGGCGGCTGGAGGATGAGGAGCATTTAGGGTTAGGGTTAGACGGGTAATGAGATATATATACCCGGTTCCACAAACATTTCCCATAATAACACAATTGGTCCCTCCTTGTATTATCTCTTTCAGAATAAATCCCTAATTTACCAATTAAACCCTCCTTCTGAAAATACTTACAAATTAAATCCGAAATCTTACCAATCAGCCCTTACTTCTGAAATCCCTTTCAAAATAAGTCCCGAATTTACACTTTAACCCTCGGAAATCAAAATTATATCATTGGCTCCCCGAAACCAATATCCCACTAATTATTATTTGATTTTTGGATTATAATAATATAAGATAATAATAAGAATCACTTCTCGGGGTTCCGGAATTATTATTTAATCGCTATATTTTAAACGGGATGTTACATCTAAGAGATGGGAGAGTCAAGATGTATGACTCTACTTCAGGTAAAATCCACTATCTAACTCTCTTGAGTTCCTTTTTGGATTCTTAATACATAATGTGATAAGATTACATTTGGTGTTTTGCAGGATCAAAGAAAAAAAAGCTTAAAAAGAAAGAAGTGAGCTGAATCTGGTCATGAAGAAATGGATTTCGATCGCATGATTCAAAGATCGGAATTTTTGAGCTGCTACTTTAGAGTTAGGATAGATTGCTAAATAATATCTACATAGTTTTCATTTGTAATCGCATTGTAAGGACAAGATTTTTCCGCAATAAAATAAATTTTGATTTTGTCTTATTTATGTTTCCTTGCGATGGATTTTATGAAAATTGGTGTTTGAATGTTTCTATTGTTAGCAATATTGTGAATGGATTTGATTCGTAGTTATGTTATTTGTGGTAATGTCAGAAATTTACCAAATAAGGAAAGATTCTCATCGCCCAAGTTTCAATTGGACAGAAACTTGGAATCATGCAACTGGTATTGTATGATGAATGAGAAACTTCGTATTTGGGAAATTAGGACTAATTCCTTGTTCACATAAGTATGTGAGTCAAGTGATGGACTAGGAGATCTGGTACACAATGTTGTGTACTGGTTAAGTCCATCACAAAGAACGATAAAATGTTCGTCATGATTTGCTAAAAGATTAGTAAATGTGATTATACTTAAAAGATTAAGTATGATTCTGAATCATTGGAAAAAGTTTCATTGAATAGCAGAACGAATAAGAAGAATCAATTAGGCAGAAAGATAAAAGTTTCTCCAATCTGAAAAGATGGGAGAGTACTTAAGTATGTATTTTATGATTAACTTAGTGATTTTGAAACCGTATCACAATTGATCCTCTGAGGACACCTTAATACACTAGTATGGCTAAGAAGAGGAATCGGAAATTATTGAAATGTTTACATCAATAGGTGAATCATACTTCGTTCCAAAATCAAGTCTTAGAGTCGTACTCCAAAATTTTGATTTGAGTGACATCATCTTAAGAAACTTTAACACACTCATCAAATGTGAAGTAGGAAAATGTTTTCTTGCTCTTGCACGTTTGAAATTGGTAAGTTGTGATGTCTTGGATAAGACAAAGACCAACTAAGACCAATCGTGTGTAGTATTTGCCTTGATAAGGACCTACACTAACTCTTGAATATTTGTTTTGTCAAGAAATGTTTCTTGACAAGAGAATCTTATATGTCAAGAGGTCAGTGGGAGTCTAAATGATCTTGAAAAGTTTCAAGAACTAATCAAGGGTAAACCTATTGTTAAACACTAGCACACGACTCGAGGTTTGTAACCTATCATGTTGACACATTTTTGTTTTTGTGCCATTCCAGTTTAAGTCAACTATGCATATGAGTTCTATGAGTTCTCAATTGATTGCATAGAGGCAAGGCATCTTGATCAATGGAAAGTACATTGATAGGTAGGGCGAGCTACTAAAAGACTTGGAAGCAATGGTGGGACCTTTGATGGCAAGAAATAAATAATAAACAAGTTATGTCCATAAGAGTTTGGATTTGTCACAAACATTATGGTTATGACAGATTCATATGGATAGGAACACATACACTATAAAATCTAAGTGTCATAAGGTTTCTTTCCTTCATGAAATTGATTGTGAGGAAACGCTTTCACTAGGAAGATTTTAATGAGATAGCGATTATGTAAATTGCATTCTCAAATTCGATTATGACTACGACATCCCTCTTCATAGTTCGAATTGTGAGATTTGGCAATTAGTTTAAACATTCGAGACTTATTGCTATAAGTTCTAGAATTGTTTAGACATACATGTGAGCTATCTAAGGAAAGGTGTATGAGTTGTTTTCTAGAAGCTTAGATAAAAGATTGTCGAAGCGTATCGTATTAGAAATATGATCTTTGGAAATCAATAAGTATTGTTTTCTAGAAGTTTAGCTGATTTCTGAATACATGTCAAAGCTAGTGGGAGCATAAGTGTTATGCTGGTAAGGATATAATCATCATGTTAGTGGGAGCATGATTATTATTTTAAGTATTGCAAGTTAGCAATATTAATTATAGAAAACAACAGTTTCACTTTGCAAAGTTGCAGGGGTTGAAAATTTGTTTTGCTATAATTAAGGGAGAGAATATTATACTTCGTTTCAAAATCTAAAAGCTTGGATCAAGAAATTTTAATCAAATTTAGTCAAAGGACATATATGGATGTTATGTTGAAAAGATTCAACTTAAAAGGATTCTATATATGGAAATATTATAGCAAGGAACTGGTAAAGTATCACGTTTTTCATTATGAATTGTGCCCCATACGCTTCGGGTATAGGTTCGATTGCATATGCTGTAATATTTGACCGTTCTAAAATTTTCCAAATGCATAGGGCATCAAGAGGGAAAAAGGACTAGAACCGAATTTGACTAAAATAATTAAACAACTGTCAAGGACAATCTAAGGTTCGCTAAGGATTGGTCGTTTGTGAGCAGTTGGAAGTATAGTAATGAATGGACCATAATGACATTATTATGATTAGATATGATTCTATTAATAATGAGTTGTCATATGGAAAATATGGAAATGTTTTCATATTGGGAGTTGGACGTTAAGAATTTATGTCTAGATTAGAAACCTTTATGCAAGAAGGATGTTCAAAGGAATGTACTTTGAATGTGAGACTTCATATCTATGGAATTGTCTTGTAACAATCTCCAATAGAACACTTTGTAATTTCGTTGGCAAAGTCTTGGTGACTTTTGTGCAATAAGATTACAAAAGGATCATTGCATAAAATGTTAGAATCTAACATATGCTAGTAGTGGCGAGAATTTTGTGTTCTTACACTAACGATAAGGATTAGGGATTGTGACATGAGCATCGTTGGAAATGTTTTCAATTGATTTATTTCACAAAGTATGGACCACAGGTAAACAGAGTGTGCATGCTTGGAGCATGGGACAATTGTTGTTATAATTCAAGTAATAAGTTGATTACTCGAAACATTGTACAATGAATAATGTGTAATCAATATGGTGACTAAATAAAAGGAGTTTTATTTATACTCAAAAGTTTGGGGCCATATTGGATTCGATTATTCTTGTGTTTCACTTTGCATGTTTTCACTTCCCGAATAATAAGATTATTCGAACGTTCCACAGTCGCTCATACTTTGGGAGTAGGTATGAAAGAAGATTGTCATGAATTGGTTTGTAGATTGTCTAAAGTGTATTAGACATAGCAAAAGTTTGATGCAACGTTCATGAGTGCTTATGAATAAGATTTGAGCATTGGATTAAACCCACGCTCACTTGGATTGCTTCATGGATTTTATCACGAGTGATTGGTGAGACGATAATATCTTATATTCTTGAAACCGAGACGTTTGAGTTGTAATTTACAAGTCGGTTGCACATTGATAATCTGTAAACGCACCAGTAACTTGGTGTTATAAAACATATTGTTTTGTGTGATTTGATGAGTAGGTACAAGCGAGCATTGAGTCGAAGTTTATCCGTTCCTTTTACCCAATGTGGGATACAAGCGATATATGTGGGCCCCTCGATGATTTTGTGATGACACCCTAAGCGCTTGGCCAAGCCGGGACTAAGTTGATGTGTTCAATTGTAGTATGTTGTCAGTCGTCATAAATCGGGAATCGGGAAACAACGCATGAACAGAGAGTATGATTAAAATCCATGTCTCAGTTCATATGATATCTAGAATGGATGAATATATGATCCCTTATCTAAAGGACAAGTTACTGATAAGATCAGAGTTTGACAGCGTCTTTGAGAAGGTATGATTGCTAATCGGATTGTACTTGCACTATAGTTACTAAACTTATCCAAGTGGGAGACTGTTGGATTAGTGTCTAAGCCCGTAACTATTTTGGTATGTACTTGACCCGGTTGTGCATGGTCCTTTTGGGTTGCCTTCACCAAAGCAACTTGATAGGATGATTTATGAAGAGAAAGGTTATTATGATTTATTAATATATTATAAGAATAATATATTAAAAGAGAAATCATATTGTTTAATTAATATTAGTCAGGAATTAATAAGAATTAATTTTGTGGCTAAAAGAGATTAATTAAATAAAGGGGACTGATACTGTAATTATAAGATAATTGCATAAATTGGGCTAATGGACTCCATAGAAGTTGGAGTGGACGAAATCTATGGGGAAACCCATTAGAATTCGTCCAAGGCTTCTAAGGAGGGAGTCCATGGGCTGCTTAGGGCCTAAGTAGTCAGATTAGGGTTTCCTAGTTCAAAACCCTAATAGCCTAACTATATAAGGAACCCCTAGGGCCCCAAAAACGTGGGGAAGGAATCCCTAAGGGTTCTTAGACGTTTTGATGCCTCTCGTCCTCTCTCCTCT